ACCTTTATTTATTAGATATATATATATATATATATAGATATACATATATATATATACATATATATATACATATATATATACATATATAAATATATACGTATATATATATATATATATATATATATATGTGTGTGTGTGTATGTGTGTGTATAATAAATTTGACAATTCACATTTATTTCTTTTTATTCATAAAATCCAACGTCAACTTGACTTTTATAAGAACAAACTTCATATCACCAACTTTCAATGAAACAGTTATTTCAACTATCAGTTTCTTAACGTTGCCAGCGTTGAATCGTTAAAAATAACTATAGTTGAAAAATAACTAGTTATTTAACTAGTTGACGAAACCCCGATAACCGTTTCGTTTCGTTGACGGCAAAACCGTCAACGACCCACCTCTAATGGATAATTCGTATAAAATTGATTTGTATTGAATCAAATTTTCATAGATTAAGCCTGTAAGGCACAATGCCATTTCCACCTAGTTTTCCTTCAAATTTAGGTAAAATTAGGTATACATTTAACGGTCTTTTTAACTCCTACGCCTACTTATAAAATCAGTACGTTTTTTATTTTTTACGAAGTACGGTGGAGACGCCTTGTACATTATTCAGTCCGTTTTCTATAAGACAATGTTTTCTTATTATTTCTATTTTAAGAACACCACGAACGCGTTATGCATAAATTCTGTAGTTAATTACTTTACTTATTTTGTGACATCCAAATAATTACTTTTGGCTGTACTATAATATATGACTGGTAGTAAAATCGAGCTCTTTAAAATGGACGAAGGAAAACGTTTGTGATAAATTAAGACACGTATACAGTTACATTAGTAATAATATATATATATATATATGTGTGTGTGCGTGTGTGTGTGTGTGTGGTTCTGAATAGCTATGATTTTTAAATTTTTTTTTAATTTTTGAGTATTTTATTTAACGTTTCTGGGTTATAAACTGCATCATTTTTCTGAAACCTTTAAGCTAGTTATTTTTCTAATGAAACATCCAGCAAACATCAAAACATACTAATAACTATGTCGGAAAAAATTCATCGAGAAATTCATGGACAAAATTATCCGATCTCAAGCAAAACAATCAAAAACTTACAATAAAAATATATTAAGTCGTATTCGATAAGTTAAAAGTGAATTGTAGTATAAAAAGTAAGAAAAAAAATAAAGTACCACAAATTATTTTTTAATAATTTTCACTATTCTTATAAAAACAAAATTCAATTGAAGTGTATATATATACCATATATATATAAATGCATATTGAAACAGTCCTTTTTATTTTATGCACACTAAGTTCCTATAATAATTTAAATCAAATTCGATAATTATCCATCATAGCATTCAATTTTAATTGCATTTAAAATATTTCCAAATTACATCATGTAAATCGTTTCAAAAGAGCAAAATAGGTCTTTTGCATATATTACCATTTGGATTTGGTGAAAACTGAGTTAAACTGTGTTGTATGATGAATAGATAGATCCAGTGAACTTTATAAACTATTAAAACTTTGTCTTGAGCATTCAACTGAAAACTGGGCAGAAAAATTAAACGGCAGTGAACTATAGTAGTGAAAATAGTTAGAATGCGATGAAAGTATGAAGAGTTTAATATAGAAAATTTAATATTTCAGCATTAGAATATTGTATTTTTTAGTAATTATTAAGAAATTAAATTGTTATTTATCATTAAGCATAAGGACTATATCACGATTAATAAATTAACAACTACTAGTTTTGCTTTATTAGAAATGTTTATACATTTAATGTGTGGAGTGCAGGGTGAATTAATATTCTTTCACAAAACTATTCAAAAGTTTTAGGCTTACATTATATTTTTGTTGATTAAAACTTATTTATTCCAATATACACACATACATATATATATATATATATATATACATATATATATATATATATATATATATATATATACATGCATACATACATACATAAGGATACTTCAAAAATTTAAAGAAAATTGGGAAATGTGCCATCAAACTATTATAAGAAATAATTGATTCATTTATTGTATTTCAAAATTGCACGAATTTCACCAAGAGTGTTCTATTTTTAAATCAATTTTATACTTTATTATTTTTTCCAATACCGAATAGTTCGAAAAGTCTTCAATAGGGTCTTCTATTTTACCACTTCCAAAAGCCATAAATTGTATTTTGAATTTATTACAATTGATTATTATAATCATTAAATAACTATAAATTCTAAGAAGCTCTGTTTATGTAGTAATTTAATTTTAGTGAAGCTTGTTTCTAACTTGCAATTTCAATATAAGTCGAAGTTGTTGAAGATGAAAAACTTTGAAAACGTTGAGAATTATAAATGTATAATTAAATAGACAACTTATTTTACAAAAACAGAGGTTTTGACTTCAGAAAAATAAATCATAAATAATATTAGCTACGCAAAAAAAACATTTATATTGTGCCCCAAAACTCAATCATTATGTAAAAAAATTATCCCATGCAGTTTACAAATTATGGGAATTTAGGTACAACCTAAGCATTTGATGAAAGATATAATTTCCAATATACGTTTCTTGAATTCACAAAAGTTTAAATCAACAAAAATATAAGGTTAGCTTAAAACATTTGAGTAGTTTTAAAAAGAAATAATAAGTCACTCTGCACCTCACGCATCAAATGTATAAAAATTTATAACAAATTAAAACTGGTAGTTGTTAATTCATTTTATATATATATAATGATTTTATTCATATTTATCTAATGATCATTTAAAATACAAGGATTTTTTTGATCATTAAAACTTAGGATCTGTAACCTCAAAAAACATTTCTAGGACAATGGATGAAATATTACCAGAATAGTCCCAACTATTTTAGACCTAAAACTATATTTTGAAGTATGAATTTAAAAATTTTGAATTTGCTCGACTTTGAGAGCTCATTTATTAATTAAAACATACTAAAATCTCATTACAAATTTTATACAAAGTACACGTATTTCATCAGGATTATAAAATGATACAATACTTGTTAATTCAGTACAAACTAGTAGTGTATGGCATCGTGTATTAAGCCAAATTGCTGGACCCTTCCGTACCAAAACAAATTGTTCGAGAAATATTGAATGTTTTCAAATAGATTATTACAAATAATGTTACATTGTCTAATATTTATTTATATGAATTATATAAACTGAATTACAAAGTTAAAATTATTTATTCAAAGTTCACTTACATGAGCTTTTGAACTTCGGCCAGAATTGAAAATAGAAATTGAATTATTTTTGATATACAAAAAAATATAAACAATTTTTTTTTATTCGAAAGCAATTATTTTGTCAAAACAAGTAGAAAGTTTTTTGAATAATTCAAATCGGATGCTTAGTTTTCTCAATTGCAATTTTTTGTACATTTAGCTCTGTATCTTCAAAACGGCTGAATCGGCCTTTGCCAAAAACTAATTTTTGAATTTGCCTTTTTTAATTTTTGAATCAGCACGTCTTCCTATCAATAGAAATCGACTGTTGTTTTGAACCAAACAAAACTGTTTATTCGTGCACAAAAAAACGTAGACGAAAAACTGTATTTATACATACATACACATACACACAAATCCATTTTTTCTGAAGTATGCCAAAATGTTCAGAAACCTTCAAAACGTGAAATGTGCAAAAAAATTTATTCTCAATTTTCCGCCCATTACTATTTCTATCCTACGGGAAGTTAAAAACATATCCACTATCTTTCTCATTACTGATATTTTTTATATCTCCTATTTCTCCAAAAAAAACTTGCTAAATATATCTATTTCCCAAACTTTTACCACCAACTAAAAATTTGTATCCTCCACCCGAAGTCTTAATACAGGCTAAGTATCGTGTAATTACTTCAATCAATTTAATAACTCGGAGTCGGCGCTCAACTAAACAGTAAAACTTTCTCGGCAGTAGTAAATAATTATTCAAATAACTTAAAAGCTACCTCTTTGCCATTTCAAAAGGGAAAGATTAAGACTAGACTCGCAATTATATTAAAATGATAGTAATTAGAGTGAATGGGAACGCTGATGGTCAGAAATGCAAGTTGAAAGGCTACAGGATTGAAAAACTTACTTTGAAAATATTATAAAAGTTTGGAAGATAGTTAGTTGAATTAAATTAAATTTTTTCTACGACATTGGGATGAAGATATTTAATTCAATCAAATCTCGTATTTAAGGTGATGGTTAATTTCTATGAAAAAATGTCACCAGAAATTCATTTTATATTCATAGATGAAATATTTGAATATGGAACCTAGTAGTTGCAAGGCATATTTTGTAATCACTAGACTACGGAGAAGTCTATAAAATAAATAAATTTTATTAGGAACAAGTGATATTAGAAGCTTTTTTTATAGATGCAAGATTTGAACATGGAACTTAGTGGTTGCAAGGCACAAGTCGTTACCTCTAGGTTACGAACAAGTCTACAATATGTATATAAAGCACAATTTAAAAAAAATGTATTACAAATTTTGTACTGAGTACAATTAACGTTAAACCTATTTTCTAAGAATAATTGTTATTAGAAGCTTTTTAAGGAAAATGCAATATTTGAATATAGAACCCAATAGTTGCAAGACACAAAGTGTTACCTTAGGCTACGGACATGCCAAGAAAATGTATTTAAAACTTAAAAAAAAACAAGATTTAAATGGCATTAGAAGCTTTTTTTGTATAAATGAAACGATTTGAATAAAAGGTTAACCCCAGAAATGTTTCAAAAATAATTAAACATTATACGTGAACCATTATTTTGTTTGATAAGGTTTTGATGTTTCTGATATAAAAATTGGAGACAACTTTAATCCACATATCTCGAATATATAAATATCAAGAAGACATTCAACAAAATTAACATTCATTCCCCATATATTAAAATAACTTAGGAAACTTAATTTTCTAAATACTTATTCAAATAATAAAACTAAATAATATATTATAAAAAACATACCTGCTTCTGGAATTATAGTTTTTCTTTTACGATGTAGAATCTTGCCTACGTTGACGTTTTAGTCATTATTTCTCTTCCTATCTGAAAAAAATAATTATTGTTTTAATTACACATAACAAAATTAAATAATGCATATTATCATGATAATGCGCCTTTGAAGCGATAAAAAAAATATTGCGTTCCATATTTAATTAATGAGTTGTTTGATGGATTAAAATTCCATTTCCATAAAGAATCATGAAATAATAGAGTTTTCGAATGAATTGTAAATTAAATCGTTAATGGGTTTATGTATAATGTTTGTTTTATAAAAACAATACCATCATGCAGTTTTGTTTATGTAATGGAGAGTAATCATAAATATCAATTTCCTCATAAATAATTAAATGAACTCTGTATTATAGCATTAAAAAAATAAAAACACTAACAATATTTGTACTAGATTTTATATAGGTAGTAACCAATAAATTAACTGATATTTTTGTGGTATTAATGTAATCTAATCATTTTTCGAAGTTCTTATTTTTTATATATTTAATACTTGAATATGCAAAAGTAATTTGTTCGAAAAACAACTGACATTCTTATTGTTATAATAAATATAAATATAAATACATAATTGAATAATTCTTGATATATTCAGATAGAATTGTAAAATTGCACTTTTTTGATTAAAGGAAATTAATCATTTTTGATTTAAAATAGTAGAAGTTTAAATCGATAGCTATATTCAATTACAAACATATTTATTTTTTAAGCTTGAAATAAAAGTAAACAATATATAGAGGAAATAATTAGTATAAAAAATGATTATCTGAAGGCAGATATATAGAATAATTATTCAATATATCTGTCTTCAGGTGAAACACCAAGAAATAAAAAATTGTTTCTGTTTTAAGAGAAATTATACACTACCAACCAAATTATGTAAAATAAAAACTATCTTATTTAGTTTTGTATATTTCAAATTATATTTATGTTGTACCTTATTTATGTTAATAGTTTTGCAAATTTTGCTAATTTTAATTGTACATCTTCATTATTATTGTCAGACTCATATTCTATTAATTATTTTGTAAATCTATTGTATCATTTCTAATTATATTTACAGAAATAGAAAATAGATATAAAGAAATATTTTTTGTATTGTTGAATAATTTAGTGAAGTAAACCAAAATGTGACACGCATAAGTTCAAAAAAATAATGTATATCCAATTTTGGATTTATTACGTTATTTATTAAACTGAATTATATAATTTCATCTGCCAAATATGAACTGTTGATTGTATCTTCTATTATTTTAATTTCTGACACAACTTAGCTGCTTTTTGGCAATAATAATGTAGACATTGCATTTTTCTTGTATTTTATATTCTAATATTATCTAGGGTCGTAATTTCAGCTGAATTGACATTTCTAGCAGATGATAGTTCAAATTACTATAATTTTATCGATCATTCAATCTTAAAAATTTTCTTTGATAAATACTAAAAAGAATTATCAAAATCAAAATAAGCGTTTAGGAGAAGTATCAAATCATACACTCGTACAAAAAAATTACATATATATATATATATATATATATATATATATAATATATATACATATACAGAAGTGCAATTTTAAAATGTACATCACGTATCGTTCGTATCGGAAAAACGAAATATTTTATTCGTAAGTATTTTCTCAGCCGGATTTTCATACATTTCATACGATCTGTTATATATATATGTATATATATATATATATATATATATATATATATATATATATATTATACACGACATAAATAACATGTAGCCTGTCACATGGAAAATGCTGAAGATTATTAACACTCAGGTCATAAAGCTTCATGCAAATTCATTCTTTGCGCGAATATGTATTAAATATAAAGCTTCAAAGTAGTTATAATTGTTTAGTTATAATGAAATTAACTATCTGAGATATATTGTTGCATAATAAAATACTAAAATTATATAATATATAATTTATGAATTTATTACAAATTGTACAGAGTGCGCCATCAATAAGTGGTCAATGAAAACATTGAATAAATTTGAGAGATTTCAACTTGTATATTATATTAAAACTTGTTTTTCCAACCCAGCTGAAAAAAATTGTAAGACTTCAAATTTGATAATGAAAGAAAAGAATTATCAAAGTTCATTAAAAACTGTTTAAGTTATTTAACATTTTCATTGGCCGCATATATGTCAATTATAATTGGCGCACCCTGTATCCAAATAGTTTTTGTTCTATTTATAAAATGCAAAGTATAATAACATCTAGCAAAAACTAATATTTTTGGATCAAAGAAATTACAATTTTAACTAAATTATTATGAACAATAAAAATACAATATTCTGAGTTTAATTTTACCCATACATTATTTAAAATGTTATTCGTGAATATTTGAATTTATTAGCAAATTTTACTAAAAAAAAAAAACTGGTAGCAATCATCATATACTAAAAATATTTATAAGCAAAACTATTAAAATTATTGGTAGTGGTCCTTAAAACGGTATAAAATAAGCTTTTGCATACGAAATGGTGGAATAATCATTTTGTTTAGTAGGCACATTTATTTTATATGAATATTTTGCTTTTCCAACATTAAAACTATCTAATTATGTGTTTCACTTTCTTTGACTCAAAATTTTTCTTTCCAAACTATTATTCATCATTCTAAGAAATTCATAAAACCGTTAATAAACTTCATTTTTAAAATTTGAGATAGTCATTTAATAATTTGAAAAAATATAAGCACAAAATAGACTTTCAGATAAAAGCCCTTTGAAAGTTGAAGCTTGAGTTGAAAAAATATTGTGGAGTATTGAAAATCGAGAATTACACACACAAAGGAAAATGTAACTGAATATTATTCATAAAAATTGATTTGTTTGAGTTTAAAAGACCAAATTTAGTTTATGAAAAAAATATTTTTAAATACTGTTACCAAATAATAGTTAGTATCTCTGTTTTAAAATGCAATTTATTAAATTTCAAATAGCAATTTCTTATCATACCAAACTAAAAGTGTCATGTATTGCATCATTTTTGCTTTTGATTACTTTATATACTTTAATTTTTTTTTCATATTTTGCAGTATAACAGATGCGGTTTACATCTTTAAGATTCAGAGTATTGTGAATTTTAACAAATTTTAGCAGAATAAATGGTAATGTATTTTAAGTAATAGATAAATTTTCTTTCATGTTACTACAAAATTATAAAAATCATGAGAGGAAAAATCGATTCTTATTAAGCTATATATGGTGATGGAATTTCTAGTTTTTATGAAAATATTAAAATATTAGAGTCCCTCCACAAGTTGTTTAATTATAAAAATTAATTACTGCTTGTATTAATGGAGATATAGAAACTATTGCAGAAACTATTGTATTAGAGGCGTGTTTGTTTTTTAATAAAAATATTTAAAAAAAAACATTTTTCGAAAATAACAAATATGTTCAGCATACAAAAATCTGAAATAGTTTTTCATTATAATGTTCTACACAAAAGAGGGCGTCTGTTATACACGTGAGGTTTTTAGGGGAAGGGGTTGACAAAAAAACACAAAATATTACGTAGGGGAAGGAGGGATATAGTAAAATATCACGTGCAATTATTTTCACCTGAATTTTAATTTTTTTTTTAAATTCTCGTAACGGTTAAGTGGGGGATGAGAGGGGGGGGTTAATTTTGAATATCTCCACGTACCATTTGGTGAGTTGGAGGGCTAAAATCCTCAAAAAATCGATCAGTCATGATGACTGATATATTGATATTTTGTGGACTTAGTCGATTATTTTTACATGTCATAAAGTTCATGCAATTTGCTGCAAAACAAAATGCCACGCACACGTAGTTTTAATTTGATTGTATACCTTATAAAATGATTTTCAAACATGCATATTTATCTTAAATATATATTATTAATATTATGGTGAAGTAATTCCCTCCACATTTTCTCTAGCTTTTCCATCTCGGCACTCAACAAGAATCCGTTTTCAAAAATAAGGTAAAAATAGAATAATTCTCCTTACACCTTGCCACTTAGAACAACTCCCACGTTTACGCAGACATTAAAGTATTTATATCCGTTGCTTTTGTTCCGACGGAGTTTTCAAGCAAAGGATTACATCGGATTCTTTATAAAGATTAACTAAATAATCTAGATTTAATGCCCCTGGATTATTTCCTTTGGCTATTGCTGAACTACTTTGCACTCGATAGAGCAAGAAAGCAAATCATATATTTAGTTAAGAATAATAAATAAATAAATAAAATAAATAAATAATTAAATTTGTTAAATTACACGACTGTGGCGCCAAAAATTTTTCCTAGAAATTTTTCTAGAAAAATTTATGTAAATATAACACAGAAAAGACAAGCCTGTATATTCTGAATGACTAAAATGAAAACAAACTAGTGGGGTGTATTGCTAGAACTTCCCGTACCGTAACAAAATGTTCGAGGATTACTGAATGTAATTTCCAAAATCAATTATTTTCTTAAGACAAGCAGAAAGTTCTTTGAATCATTTAAATCGAACGCTTAGTTCTCTCAAAAACTGCCATTTTTTACATATTTAGCTCCATATCTTTGAAATGGCTAGGCCTGCCTTTGCCAAAAACTAATAAACACTTCTCCCAATCATTACTAATTGAATGTTTTTTAGATCATTCAAATCGCATACTCCGTTCTCTCAAAAAGTCGATTTCTATTTTCTGCACTCGTTGCTTCGTATCTCCGCAATGGCTGGACCTGCCTTCGCTAAAAACTAATCAGCTCTTTTCCCTATCAATAGGAATCGAATGTTCTTTGAACCATTCAAATCGGTTGATCCGTGCGCCCGAAAACGTGACTGGAAATTTGTATCCATACATACATACATACACACACACACACACACACATTCATTTTTTCTGAAGTATGCCAAAACGTTCAGAAACCTTCAAAACGTCGAAAAATGTAAAAAATTTCAATTCCGATTTTCGGTCCATTACAATAACTTACCCTACGGGAAGTTAATTATACACGTATAAGATATATTTTCAACAAAATCACAAATATGT